CAATTTCTGGTTCCACTCTCTCCAGACCTCTGCTACAGAAGACCATTCTCATAAAACTCAATTGAAATTGATTTGTAACTGCAATGTCATAAAACAGAGAACAGAAAAATGTTCATAATGAGTAGCAATTTTTCCAAGGCTTACAACCCATATGGCTTCTATAACATGGAAAACCACTGACTTTGTTCAAACTGTCACTCTTAGTAACATACATAAAAGCAACACAGACAACAGTCTAGTATAAAGGATCCCCAAATATCAGTCACCCCTAAATATTTCATTACCTAAATAAATCACTGTCCCTCTGTAAGATGATGACATTTACACAAAGTTAGAGCCATTACATTGGAGACCCACTTACAGTCATTGGTCAGGATAGTTAAACATTTTTTAGGTAGTGTCCTATGGAATGCATTGCAGTACATGCTTTGTTTTACTATAGAGTCTGTCGATTATCAGTAAGCAGCCAATGAAAATGCTCACTTTTAAAACTTCTCATATGTAGGTGTCTGGAATTGTGAGATTTGGAGAGTGCAAAGGATAGGGGAATGTGATTGTCTCATAATGAGATGCAGCATATTTTTCAGCCACATAACCAACAACAGGAACAGAGAAACGAACATCTCATACATGGAAGAAAACATACATCCTTGTAATGTACACACATAGGTGGAGTATTGGGGGGGGGACTTCCTTATACTGCAGTACACTTATACATAATCCATCACAGTTACATACATAATAACACTAAGCCCCTCTTGACACTTTTATTTTCTGTTAACTGTAATCTAAGCATGACACACCAATTTTCATGTTACCTACACCTGGTGCTGCAAGTTTGATTAATACATGTTTCAGCTGTCTAATCAACAGGATTATCTCCCAAACCACATGACAAGTTTAGATAAAATATGCCATGCTAGATCTATGTTGAAAGTTGTCTGGTGAATTCCATGTTTGTTCATGTAAGTCTGTTAGTCTGCTGGAAGTCATGCTTTGTAGGAGTGTAAATGCATTTTGTTTTGTTTCTATTTCACGAGAATCAGTAATAAAAAGCTACTTGAATAAAACTTTTAGAGATATGAAATAAGAGATACTTTTATATATGAAATATTTATAATGCAACTTATCGCTTTGACAAATGCCTAGAAGGATATGAACTTAACATTCCAGCCCACATCTTTTAAACCAGTTGACCAATATAAGTGAAACTTTATGCAAGAGGCACTTATGAATTATTGTAAAATCAAATAATTCTTTCAGAATTTTTTTTTAAATGGCCTACCACTCTCCACTCGTTAGCAAGGCCTAACATTTTTTTTTCCTTTTGGAAACTAACCACTTGGAAGACTGAAATAATGATTATTATATGTTACAATATTAAAATAATTAGGGAAGTAGTTGTACTACTTTATAAATTTGATTTAAGTAGTGGGTCTTTATGTCAATAGTGTTGGACTTCTAAGTTTAAATAGCACCAAATGAATTTCTCTGCCTGCCTGACCATTTTATAGTGTATCTTGGAAACAAGTTTCAGGAACATTTAGAAATTACATAATATTCTACAAGAGTTTCAGAACAGTCATGGAATCCTGACTTTCCACAATTTTATGTTATTTTAACTGTTGCAGTTACAGTTTATGTAATAATGATTTAATTATTTCTGTTGTTTTGTTGTGGGACATGGAATCCCCTGATGATACATACTCATATATGCTTGCTCTTTTAGGTGTGCCAGGACTGAAATCACTATATTTGCAGACTTCTTTTTTGCTGTTAGTGGTAAAATAAAATGTGTTTATAAGGAGAAGTTGGTAATTGGCACTGCCAATGTATATAGTGTTAAGTTTTCAGAATACAAAATAAGTAGATTAAAGCCCCTGTATATGGTAATTAAACGCTGCAATACTTTGCTTTATTTAATTATTGTACAATGCTGTATTAACTGCCGCAATTATGCAGCATTAAATATAACCAATAGGATGACTGTGAATCAGTTAGATGATGTGGGAAAAGAGTTCACAGCCTATTATTAAATGCTATCCTCAAATTTGCATGGAGAGACTGAGTAAAACCATGAAAATCCTATGTAAGGATAGGCAATCTTCTTTTGAAATTTTAACCAGAGACTGAGAAGTAGACTTTAGTCGCAACTCAGTCACTGAAATTCACATGTGTTATCACACAGATATACTCTGTGACCTGTTGCATTACTTTTAGTTCATCATGAACCAAACTGGGAAACAACCTGAATAGTACAGTACATCAGATAAGGGACATGGCCACTGAAACTATATTATATAAAATGAAGAACTGTAGTCCATTTTGGAGTATTCTGTGAATGTCTGTTAACTGAATGGTGAATTTTGCAGCCAATATGTTGAGGCTATAATAAGACATAACAATATCAAAGTTATCACAGAGACTTAATCCAACATATTCCCAAGTCCAAAAGATGATTTTGTTACTTAACTTCATTGGAGCAAATATATGTATGTGATATCCAAGTTGGAGTACACCATTTCACTTGTTTATTCTTTTAAGAATTAACTGAATTTGAGTCACATTGATTGCTAGATAAAGAAAATAATAAAATTGTTTGACCTTGACATATACAGTGTTGTAAATTCCCTGAATGTTGGTTGCTTGCTATATGGGTAATACCACTGTATATGAACTCTTACTGCTTTAGTGAGTGCCTTTTCTTAATGTATGAGTTGCCAGTTATCATCTTGCTATCCAAACTGTTGAAAAATTACAGGATATAAAACTGAAAATATCATTCTACCAATATGCACAATTTGCCGTTTAACAAATGTGAGATGCCGTTCGTAACAGACAGCCTCTCTTAATTTAATATTTAATAAAGACATGCTGTCCATTGTTAAAAAATATTTAAATTGTCACATTATTTGTTGAAGATTTAGCCTAATTTGGAATATCTGCATATCAGATTTATATTGATTGAATAGTTTAGTTTTCATAATAAATTGTGTATTAAAATAAATGTATGAAATTCCAAGTTCTTTTCTTTCTCAAGTTAAAGACACAGAATCTCTTTGCATTTGAATGTTGTCTAAGTCAAGTTTTTCACAATTTTTGTTTCAGTGATTAGCAGATTTTTACTAAAAGACGGTTTAATTGAATAAAAATTGTAAGAATATGATTTTGAAAATAAAATTGTATATTAAGAAAATGAAGACTATACTTCCACACAGAATGAAATAAATGTGCTGCCTGCTTCATGCTGGTTTCTTGTCTGGCTTATTTTCGAACCTGAAGATGGAGGTATTGTTACACGAAACATCAATTGGCTTTCATTCAACTACATGGCATTACATCCCAGAAAATAGAACTCTCCAAATGAAAACATTATTTAACAGAAATACTTGGCAGTATGCTTATGCCAGCTTTTTTCATTAGAAGGGCAGAATATTTCTTTATTGTATCTCACTTGCCTACATTTATTATCAACTGGGTGTGATGAAAAGCTGGACTCAGATGACATACATATTACAGGAAAGACTTCTCATGGTCTGCTGTACAGGATCATTTTCTTTGATCATGGTTCTTAACTTTCCTTATATCAACATGTGTACTGTGACAGGTTTATGCTTCAAAGCTCTGTTTCTAGATATAGTCAATGAATGTTCATTATGATATTTTACAAACATTTTACCTGTTACACCTTTTAACAGTATTGTAGCATGTAGATCAGTTGCTGGATAATGTTCATGTGACAACGCCTGTTGCTAGAGCAGCAGATCCTTAATAAATGGGGTCATGCAACCCATTTTTGGTCAACAGCTGGGTAAACATGTTCTTGCAGCAATGGACACGGTCGCAACAATAGAAGAACAGTGTTCTCTATGTGGTCCATGCCAAGAAGTTATAACCAGGACAGTTAGAGTTCAGTTGAGTTCTACATGGGAGACTGTGAAGATAGAACCTGTGTGCGCGAAGCTGAATAATCTCCACCATTAGAAGTCGTTGCTAGGGAATGGCTGGTGAAGACACAGCAGGCTGGAAAAGGCTTAGCGTGTGCTGTGGTGATTTGTGAATTATGGAGATAAGTGGTGGCACTAATCCAACCCCATCTATAGTAGCACCCCTAAATTGTGACAACTGGTGTCAGAAGTGGTTGGATTGGAAACCACAGTATTGGGAGCTATATCGCTATATCAGCATGTTATGGAGATGGAACAAATGATGGCATGCCTGCTGACTGAAATAAGAATGACCAAGAAGAAATGACAGTAAGCCGGGAAGCCAAGATAGACACCAATCAAGAAAAGACCTAAGCTGAAGTAAAAATCCAATAATGAGAATTCTGCGGTCCTTCAAAGTATTCTCATCTCTTGGATGGATATTAACCAAGCCAGGACAGAGGCCATTCAGGAAGAAATAATAGCATCACAATATTCTGCAAAATATTAAAAATAATCAATACAACATTTTTTCCTTCTAATAGGAAGACAAAAATAATCTCACAGACCCTTAGGTGTTCATGGACCACACTCTGAGAACCAGTGTTTAGAATGCTGAACTATGGATGGAGTCCAAATGCTCAGTAATCCCAAACTTTCTCATTGTTCTCGACAGTCCCCTGACAACCTAAAGGGTCTGGAATTTAACCATCCCGATGTCAAAATGGTGTTCTTGCCCTCCAACACCACTTCCCTCATTCAGCTGCTTGATCAATGTGGTTACCAACTTTAACATGTATTTATACATACCATACTTTCAGCAGGATTCCTGTCCTCAAGCTTGATATAGTCATACACCCTCTTCCATTTCTGTCTACCCTACCAGTCTCTCTTCATTCGTTGCCATCAAAAAGTCCCATCAAGGTCCTCTACAAGTTATTGTCAATCCCCATGCTAATCTAATTCCTTAACATTTGCAACTTAGACTCCCAAATGAGCTTTAAGGGACAGGATGTTGAAAAGTGAGGACAATATGGTTCTTCGTGGTCGTTTGAATGTGTACATCAGTAAGTGTCTAGGTAAAAATAAATTTCTTTTACTTAATTAAAATACAATATTTTGCAAGTACTTTTGCAATCACGTTGTTGCGAACAGATAGAGAAGACCTCTTGCAAACTGTAGTATCTCTGAACCTCCCAATTTTGACTCTCCATAAACCCTGTCAACAAAGGTTATTGGTACCTGAAAACAAAAAAACCAAAATCTTTTGACAATTACGAGGGTAAGTCAGAAATTATCCGCACTTTCTCCATAACACATCTTTAGGTTTGTCACACTGCCTCCTACGCATGCATTGTTAGAGTTGGTACTACTGTGGTCATGTGATTTAAGTTTTACCTTGATGCTGTGACAGTGTAAACATGGCCACTCTGCTAAAAGTGTGCACCAATGATTAACAAAGAATAGTGATCCGATTTCTCTGGTTGGAATGTGTGTCGGGCTGAAATTCATATGTGGGTTCATCACTATGCGCCAGAATCCAAAAGCCAGAGTATGGCGTGGAAACACCCGGAAATGCAAACAAAGATGAAATTCAAGACTCAATCTTTCATGGGAAAGGTGATGCTAACCATTTTTTGGGACTCAAAAAGGCCTATACTGGAAGATTACCTGGAAAAATGGTGTACGATCAGCAGTGCAAGCTACAGTGATTTGCTGGCCAACAATCTGAAGCCAGCAATTCGCACCANTGTGTGTCGGGCTGAAATTCATATGTGGGTTCATCACTATGCGCCAGAATCCAAAAGCCAGAGTATGGCGTGGAAACACCCGGAAATGCAAACAAAGATGAAATTCAAGACTCAATCTTTCATGGGAAAGGTGATGCTAACCATTTTTTGGGACTCAAAAAGGCCTATACTGGAAGATTACCTGGAAAAATGGTGTACGATCAGCAGTGCAAGCTACAGTGATTTGCTGGCCAACAATCTGAAGCCAGCAATTCGCACCAAACGCCGAGGCCTATTGTCGAAGAAAGTGTTGTTGTTGCATGACAATGAACGCTCACACAAGGACGGCAAGACCGTTGAAACCATTAACCATTTGTGTTTTGAGGTGCTGGAACAACCTGCCTACAGCCATCATCTCTTTGGACCGCTCAAAGATGTTTTACGAGGTTTTTGATTTTCTATGGACAAAGAATTGGGGGAAGCAGTGCATAAATGGTTGCGCGACCAAATGAAAACCTTCTTCGTGGAGGGAATACGCAAGCTTTTGGACCCCTGGACCAAGTGCATCGAAAAGCGAGGAGACTATGTAGAAAAATGAAGTACTTGTTCAACCCCTACTTTTGTATATATGGACTGGAAAAACAAGAGTGTGGATAATTTTTGACTTACCTACGTGCTTAACAAGATCAATCTGTTTCACTTCCATGAAAGTTAACTAGGTCCATATTTGTTTTGACTGATGTATTCCTTTCGACATAGTGGGTGTGAATATTACTTTTGATTTCAGAATGGATGAATCGTTTTAGTGGTTAATACAAAAACACCCTCTCCAAATTCTGCTTAGCACAGAGCAACTAGAAAGAGTAACAGGAATGTCAGCTACTGAACCAGTATCCTAGTCTTATCTTTCCCATGAATTTCAATTACAGCACATTCAAGTGTACTATCAGGAATGCAACCCCGTGATAGGTGATACATCTTGACCACATTAATATATGGAAAGTTCAACATAACTGGAAAATCTAGAATACATTTTGTAAAATCCTGCTTTCAGTGCAGATCTTAAAAATAAGGGTGTACATATTTCATGAGCAATGCAGATTACACCACTTTCCCATAAATCAATACAAATTTGACTTTGTAAAAATGTTAACAAAATTAGAGAAAATCTGCAGCAGGTTTACTGCAAGGCTCCAGAAATATATTTTGTTAAGTGGCAAGGATTTGTGTTTTATTCCTGAAGCCCTGGTTACTGTAAGGAATGAATTAGTTCTTAATCAAGAGAAGGAAAATTCTTGCCTCGCCAATGGTGTAGCCCTGTTGTCGTGCTCGGACTATCATTTCCATCTGGAAAACATAGCCTTTAGAAACGCAGGTTTCAATCAACTTCTGCAACACATCCTTCTTGTACAGCCTAGAACACCAAGGAAAATGATCTTAAGAAAGGATCTTACATTTGTTAGAATACTTGTGACAATGAGGGGACACAAGAAAGATATATAGAATTCTGGTAGGGAAACTGCTTAGAATAGACCCATGATGGAGACTGACATAAGATGATAAGAGAGATGGGGTGGGTTCATGCTAAATTTCAACAATCAGTTTTGATACAAGCAATGTCAGGGATCCAGAAATACGTTACAGGATCATAGTATACTTTATTTAGATACTGTTAAGATGTTAATATTCTAGAACAAGAGTAATATTTTTATAATTTTCTTTTTGAATCTTACACTAAACCAGTGAAGAGTACTATCATCTGGGATGTGATGCTATGCAATGCAGCAAAGCTCAGAGGTATTTCTGAGGAAAGTACTGCCTCTATCTTCAGAGTCAAAGATATAAAAAGCATGAAAAGAAGAACATGAAGCAAGCAGAAAGCTCCTCTGAAACACTGGTTAAGTTCTAACAGAGTACATGGTACAATACAGAATTTCTAATCCCAAAATATAGAATTTATTAAATTTTCAACAGACTTAGACTGAGGTTAAAACTCTTAATTGTTGGAGTTTATGGCAAATGACACACTTCTGGAGCCGAGACACTTATAAATAACACTAAATGCCTGTACAGAAAACATACCTAAAACTGCCTGTCAAATCTGAAGCTCCAGGTCGTAGTAGCAGCTGCGTCAAGAAGTTTGCTCCACGGCTGATTAATTTTCGTTTGAAATCCCAACCAAATACTCCACCCGAACCAATGTACCGAGTTCCAGAAACAACATCAAAGTTTCCAGACTTCTGCTTTTTTATAAATTCTGGGATAAATTTTGGCTGCAAAGTAAAAACAAAGTTCCGCTTAGAAATCAAAACATTTTTAGCTACTAGTAAATGCTAAGTGTTAAATTATTATATTAAAACATAAATATCAATTTGCTTCAAATATATGTTAAATATGTTCAAATTTAACCCCTTCCAAATCGTACTGTTTGCAGTCTCTTCAATTTCCACGATTTTCATTTTTCTGTAATTCTTGCTGTTATCTGTTCTGCAATAAAATGGATGACAAACTTACATGATGTGATAAATCTGCATCCATGATCAAAATAGAATTTCCAGTTGCATGTTTGATACCGTGAATATAAGCTGTTCCAAGACCAAGTTTCTTTTCTCTAGGACGAAGCACAATTTTTTCACTGCCATAGATTTTCTCAAGTTGTTTTCCAACTTCCAGCGTTCCGTCTGGACTTCCATCATCAATAATGATTATTTCATACTCATAATCACTGTATTGTACAAAGAGAAGTATGAAAATCAATTCCTGTCATTAAAGAACAGTACTATTATAAAGAAGGTACCTTTTAAGAGCATGCAAAAGTGTGAAAAAAGTAAAAAAAATGAGTTTTTTAATTTGTACTCTTTGCTATATATTATGAAGATAATCAAATAAAGAATGGGAGGACATAGATAATCCATGGGCAAAAATGAATACAAGATTGAGTATGAATATATGAAAGAAAGTGGCCTCTTTGGATGGGTTTTAATTGGATCATAATATGACCCAGTGGCTGGTTCTTGTCAGTACAATAACGAATCCCTGGATTCCATAAAAAGTGTGTAATTTCTTTAAGGAGGTACTGGCGAGTGTTGTTCCTTCCTCAGTGATCTAAATATCTATGTATAATACTTCAAACACCTCCATGCCTTTGTTGTTCGTTCATTCATATACACACACACACACAGCTAACATCAAACAGAAAAGCTCCATTAGGCTCTCAGGAACCTACACTATTTTCACTAATATAATAATGATCGACTGCATTGCGCTCTGTAACGGACCTCGTGAAAAATATATTTCACGGTGTCAAAACTAGCAAAGGTACTTGCGCTACCAAAACCGCAAATAATACACAGAACGCAATATTTCCAATATATATAAAATTTATACTATCACATATTGACCTTTTATCCATATAATTCACTATCAACCAGACAATAATTGCCAGATTGTCATGTTCGTTATATGTAGGCAAGAGAATTGAATATTTATTTTCAACTGCCCCATTTCTTTCATCACCACGCACTTCTGCCATGCTGCAATTTTTGACGTCAGTCGACTCCGTCGATCGGAGTCGAGTACAGTGATCGATAGGTATTTTCAGTTCGTACTGTGGAACTATGGAAGACGAACATCACGGATTACTAAACAGAGTAGTATGAATGCATAGGGCATTGATATGGGGAATTTCGCTGTGACCGCTTTCGATCTATCGAGTTGCAATAGAATGAACAAATTTATGATCTGCGATTCGCATAAAATTACGGAACATAGCTCAATCAGCAAGGGTATGATGATGTTATATTTTAGCGTCCTGTTGCACTGATTCAAGTCCATGATTTATTTCACCGTCTTCTAGTGCATACACTTATCTACTTCACTCCTCTCACTCGCACTACATGTTTCGGCACAAAAGTGCCATCCTCAGGTGCTTATTTGCTTAACGTTAAACTAGTTCATTACATGCCTTGTCGTCTTCATATTAAAATAATTAAAATATATATTTATCATATATATTGATAAATGTTAAAAATTAAATATTAAAATATAAAATTGTTCAGGATTTTTCCTACGTCGTATTCACTACTCAAGTCACGTTTATCCTCTTCTGTTGGAGCACTCTTTCTATTTTCATGTGTTTATTGTGCTTTTTGTTGTGTCTNTGAGTGAGAGGAGTGAAGTAGAGAAGAGTATGCACTAGAAGACGGTGAAATAAATCATGGAAGGGTATAATGTGTTCCTAGCGTGTGAGTATGACGTCACGCTCGGGAGGGCTGTAGCTGGGATCGGCTGGGATCACCCCATGTCAACAGGTATATGGTGACGGAAAACAAGCGCAAGCGACAACTGCTTGGTGTCTACTGTCATCTATCAACAGCATCTACAGGGCTCGCTCATTGTACAATATCATAGTGTTGTAGTATTTATAGCAGACAGTCCCTGACGCGGAGTACGAGAAGTATTTGTAGTGGCGGGGAGAGCTACAGCATGCCGAAAAGTGTGGAGGGGAATACAGTACAGGCGTTCTCACAAGGAAATAACTTCTTACCTCATTGTGTTGCATAGTGTTGGTGGTTATGTCTCGAGGATGTTCACACATCCGATATTAAGTTTTAAGTGCTGAATGGCACACTATTATGCACTAAACACTATTATACACTTTTCACTGTTATATACATGAAGAGTTTATTTACATATTACACGGGTCTATTCTAAAGGAACAACGGCGGCAATGTCCTCATAGATACCATCTTCACATGCCTGTCCTTCGTCGTCACCACCAGATGAATCGGAGCTATCATGAGAACTGTCATCACTATCACTGCCAACATGGAAGACGAACTCTCGTTCTGCCTTCAAAAGGCCTTCCTGTGCCGTTAATTGTTGCTCAATGTTCCTTACATGTTGGCACCTACGTTGCCATTCTTCTGCAGTTATGGAAGCCAATTTTTATCTGCCACTTTAATGACGTCATCCATATTAAGTGTGGTATTGGTTTGAGCAACCCAATTTTTACGGTGGCCCATATTAACTCAACTGGGTTGAGTTCTGGGTGATACGGAGGGAGTCATAAAATATTGTGATTGTGTTCTGCAAAGATTCCATCTATTTTATAGGGAAGGTATTTCGGTTTGAGTGGTAGGATCATATTATGTATGTCTGGATTCCGCAGTGATGAAAAATCAGTGTTATTGAAGGTAATAGGTGGAAGGTGATATTTCAGCCAGGATATCATAAAATCTCTTCTTGAATTTGAGTTAGGGTCTCTGTTTAGTTGTAGGAGTACATTATGGTAGGGAGTATTATCAATGACAGGGACAGAATTTGGGGGAAGGTTAGGAATAAGTCGCCCCTTTAATCATTTTTCATAATTGGTGTAGTTCATGTCACTATGGTAGTCTCCTGTTTTTTGGTGGGATTTTAAGCGGACATAGGCATTAGGGATGAAACCTTGCTCCCCCCTGCATGGATAACAATGAGCCTTTGGCATTTGGACACAGGGGAAAATAATTCCTTGATGGATCCATCACTACGTGCATATGGGGTGGTGTACGATGAATGAATTGTAACCGCACCATGCAGGAACCTCAGTAATGTTTTTCATTTACATTCTTAATTACAATGTACTACATCTAAACGAACTATATTACTAATTAACAAAAGATGAAACACAATTGACCCCAGCACCAGCATGGGCCAAAGACGACATATGGTCTTTCTGAGGGACAAGCAAGCTGCAGGTCACTTGAAAACCCCAGAACGGAGCAGGAAGTATCCCGCTGTGTTTTCTGGGAATTTCAATGCTTAACTTCGACTGTGCGAGTCTTTGAAAATTTGAGACTTGAGAGATACGAGTCGCAATAATTTTCGGAGGGGCGTACCGAGCGATCGTTAGCGTACCTTCATTTATATGAGAGCTGTCAGAAGGACCGTCTTGTAATTAGGCCCAAATTAACATGGACCTTGTTAGGGATTGGCGGAATGTCAATGACAGTAACACCCAAATTTTAGGTTCAGCCAATCAGCAAAATTTCAGAGGAGAGGAAACCGGCCGTTCCCGGAACCGTCAGGACTTCTGCCTCTCCAGAACAGTCAGTCGTGTAAAGGGACTAACAGGAGTCAGTCATCAAAGGGGAGTAACAGGAGTGAGTCGTCTAAAGGGAGTAATAGGAGTCAGTCGCAAAAAGTGAATAACAGGAGTAAGTCGTTTAAAATGAGTAACGGGAGTCAGTCGTCAAAAGGGAGTAACAGGAGTAACCTCCCGGACGTTAAATCGGGTTTGGCTGAGTCCGGTACACAAATTCAAAGTGCTACAGCCTTGTAATAGGTAATTGTAGTTCACATCTATAATAAAGAGCAACAGTGTTGGTGAAGTGTGAGTTTTAAGTGTTCTCTATTTCCTTGTGTGAGCAAGGCCCAGAAGTCGCCCTGAGACAGAATCTCGCCCTACCGTCTGAGCATTCGAAACCCCAAACGCCTGCCTATCCATATCCCCACCTTTGTTTTCCCCGTTCCAAATTCGTGGATTTCACCCAAGTCCACTGGCGCCCATACAAATTCAAATTCAGAGTAATCCCACACCCTACCCTGAACCAGACAGCTACAGGGAAGCGGTGGATGAAAGTGGAGACCAACGTAAGGGCACCAAGAGGACAGTTATAAGTGGTGGGTTATAAGTGCCGACCAACTTGTGGGCCTAGAAGTCTCACTGAGTGGGTGACAACACTTATAGAATATAGGTTTCATCCACGTAGATGGATGAAACCTCTTCAGAGGCACCAAACACTCTTTAGAAACTACTATCACAACAGTTGTCATATCAATTACACATGTATTGCCAAGTCACAATGTTCTATCTATCAGTCACAGCAGCCTTTCGGGTTATAGAAATTTTTAAAGTTTTAAAACTTTGTTCAAAATTAAAATTCATAAACCTTACGGTTCGTGCCAATAACACCTGTTGTCTCTCTTCTAGGTGGCCGATGTTGTGTTGCCTATGTAACCTGAGTAAGGAGATTCTTAATATAGTCCGTTATGATTTCCTGGCCCACTGTGCTGTTTACTGTTAGTGTGACGGACCAAAAATGAAACAAATCAAATTCAGTATTATTGCTCCAAATACACGATTTATAACACATTAATATAACTGAAAAGCTATGTTCTGTGTAGCTTTCAAGTGTAAGTTGTCAGCAAAGTTATTAAGTTGAATACAAGTATCTCTGAAGGAAACATAATTTTCTTTCAAGTTTATCCACCATCAGCTTTCCTAAACACAAGTATTCTATGTATGTTATAGTTCAAATGTTCATTGCATTTCAGTAAGGGGGTGTTGATTTGATGTTAATGAAATGTTCTGTGGGAACATCCCACATTATCACGCATTTCAGGTCAGGTCAGGTCAGGTCATGTTACGACTGACGGTCAGTCAGTCTGTCGGTCTTGGTGTCGAGCCCCAGCTGGGGCTCATGACCAGATATTTCTTTTGACTGAAAGTTACTGTCCTGTCTATGTGTAGCGCCCTCTCTGACGAGAGGTCGGGTCTGTCATCTGTCAGTCAGTCTGTATTAAGTCTATTGTCTGTATTTACATACATTTACAAATACACACTTAATCCTTACTTCTATGTACAATATATACACAGCCTCTGTCAGTCCAGGCTAGGTACAGCGGATTATGCCCTTTCATATATATACATATATATCCTAGTAGTATTTGCTACTATGGCAGTCTAGTCACTTGAACGGTCGTATGCCTGACCGCCGCCAAGTTTAAGCCTCTTATACTTTCTGTGTCGGGCTTCGCCTTGTCCGATGTTGCGAACATTCTCATTATCATGATTTTGTATGACTTCTGCTTGTTGCCTGCATAATTTTGTTATGTAATCATA